CTTTTAATGCAGTGGGGTCAACCTCGAATTCAAATGGCGTCTCTATTTTGTAAACTGGTACTTTAGAAGTCTGAGGTAGGATCGGATCTGCCAGAATGCCCATATTCTCTTGGACATTGATTGTAACCCCAGGTACCGGTATACCTGCTGGGAGTGCATGGGATGCAGAGGTTACTGTCGGTTGGGGTTGCTGTTGCTGAAACCTATCTATCACTTCTGCTTGGTGGGCTGCGACCTCAGCTTGACAGGCTGTAACCTCAGCTTGGCGGGCAACATCTAGCTATATAGTCTCAATGGTCTACTGGAGCTGACAAAACATATCTTCCATGCTAACTAAGGGATGTTCAACTATCCAAATTGGCGAATACTCTCTTTCTGCAATAGAAGTAGAAGACTGGGCCTAACTAGGCGTAGGTGAAGTAAAAGGTGACCGCTGGATTAGTGAATTCTGCCTAATCCTCCTCCGTCTGGTAACTGGTGGGAGTGAAACAAACACTGGCTATCCCCTGGCAAGATCCCCGGATCTACAAATCCTTCTGATATGGGTCCAAAGTGCTTAGGGGATAACAGAATCATCTGAAACAATGGTGAAAAACTCTTTTGCAAAAAAAGAAATAAAGCAAAGAAAAGCAAAAATCAAAAACCGCACAGCACATCGACTCAGATACTAACAACACGCAGTTGCAATCAAAAGCTGGAGAACTGCACTCAACACTGATTTATGCCCCAAAACTAATGCCCAAACTTGCAGCTGATACATATATTCCTGTAGAGTTTCACTCTAAAAGCACATAACAATTAAGTGAGAGCCAAAACACCCCCATGATGGAGTAGGGTCACCCTATCCTAGTTTTGTCAGGAACTAGGGTTCACTAGTCAAGCAAAGTGTTTCACACAATCCTGAATTCGAGTGAGCAACCTGTCCTAGTTTGGAACAGTCTCTACGGCTTCCGATATGCAGGTCAAAAAGGGTACCTCAGCAAGACTATCTAATATACCTCTCACACCTAACACCAAGAAGTGAAAGGTGGATCAAACGGTACAGCGGTAGTCTAGATCCAAGGGTTGCATTCCCCTCGTGGTAAAGCCCGCAACCGCTCAGCCTTTTGGCAAACTTTTCCAAGCAAGCCTCCGGCAAACCGTTCAGGAATAGCAGATGGCAAACACTGTGACTTAAGCGCACCGATACAAATGCAAATGCAAAGAAACACATAAGTGTAGATAAAATAACATATCATGAGTTCGAGTCAAGTTCTCTAAATCCCCAACAGAGTCACCAAAAATTGTAGCTCGACTTTTTTACGCCCTCTTTCGAAAGGTTTGAAAGAAAGTCCTACAGTTCGGACTCCCGTAGTTTTGAATCTAATCTCACAAGTGCAATGTGAAACTGATAAACACCAAAGAGTCCAAATCCAGCAAATTGTTTTGAAAAATTGATTTTAGGATCAAAAATGTCAAAATTGGACTGTTTTACTAGATATAGAGTCATCACCTAAATATTTTATTTTGAAAAAATTTAGGAAACCCATGACTCGTGCCAAAAACCACGTATCCGTCATCACCAAAGTTGTCTCGGCTCGGGAACTTGGGTACGAGAGGGAAAGGTCATGAATTGAGCACCCCCGCTCGCCCGATCAAAGATCGGCCTCTACTAATCATGATATGATCTTTTATAAACATTATGTGCTCTTATTTCGGTTATTAAACTAGCATTACTGTGCGATGCGCACAATCAAGTATAGACTAGTTTGCTCAAGTTGGAACAATTCAACTCATGTTTGTTTGCGAAAATGGTTTGAATTTGCCACCTCAAGTAGGCTTAAAAGTTTGCAGATTTGCCACTAATCATAGTGGGCTTAAAATGGGTTTGCCACTCAACAAAGTGGGCTTAAAACGCACATTTGTTGAATCATTCCAATTCAAGCAACAAGCCTTCATCCACAGGCATTCAAGCAGTTTAGCATTTAAGCACATAGCCTCATGACAAGCATGCTAAACATGGCAACATTCACACTTATGCCAGTATGCTAAAGCATAAAAACTCGCCTAGTACTCCAAGCTAACAAAATACGAGTTAGTAAAATATGCATGATTCCTAACTATGTTAAGTGTTTAATGCAACACATGCAATATGCAATTAATAGGCTCGACTACTAATATGACATATGAATCGATTTGATAACGTGCGGTTAAACACGTATTCAAATAAGTATTGAAATGGCAATGCAGTTAGAATGATGCACCGAGCCTCGGCATATGCGATACAAATGAATGGATGCAAGTATAAGGCATGCTAATTTGAAATATGATGCTTCTAATTTAACCATCGAAAGCGATTAAATAAAAGAAAGAATGACATGAGGTTGGAAAATATACACACACGCAGGCACACTTATTACAACATTACGCCCTCGCGAAGAATGGTCCGAATGAATAAAGCTAACTAGCTAGCTAATTAAGCTAATTATTACAACACTTCAAATGAATAACAAGCTTACCCTAGGCTAGTTAATTAAAATAATTAAATAATTAACTATCTAAGCTAATTAAATATTACACAGCAAACTAATTAGCTAAATACTTAACTAATTATTTACAAAGCAGCTAAACTAATTAATTACAACATGAATTAATTAACTAATCTACTTAAATTAACTAAGCAAGTTAACTAAAGGCCTCGGGAGGCGAGGGATGCCCAATGCATGCTCGGTTTCCACCCGAAGAACGTCAGCTGTTTTGCTTCCAATTACCTCGGTTACACACTCCATGCAGTGGTCCTCCTTCTCCAGATCAACTCTGCTTTGCTTGACAAGCTTTCTGTCAAATTTTCATTGGTGGCCGGCTAGCCACCAACAAGAGGTGTCATCCAACAGTGGTGGCCTGCTGGCCAGTAGTAGTGGCCGACCGGCCACTGGTGATGCTCATTTTCTTGCTGCAACAGAGAGCAAATAGGGCAAAGAAGAGGCATTCTCATAGGTTGTTTGTACCATGTATCACCCCTTATCATCAACACAAGCTCAAAGGAGTGATACATTTGGCCCTTAAACCATCAATCAAGCAATTTCCATGCATGATGGCTAAGGGACCAAATTGCACAAGTTTAATGAGTGCAAAACAAGACTCAAGTGCCATCACCCTATCATACATGATCAAGGGCTATGGAGACCAAGGAAAGTGGCATATTTCATCACTTTTGAGTATGAAATGTCTCATTTTCCTTGTGTTCAAATTAACGTCTGATTTGAACACATGCAATGCAACACAAAGAATGCTTATCTTGCCACTTTTACTTGCCAATTTTGTTTACACATTTTAATTACCTAATCATCCTTTAATCAATTTGTCCTTTGCTGAGCATCCTCTAAGATGAAAGAAGTGTTAACCAAGGGATAATGTAAGGCAAGAGAGAGATCGTGCCATTGATAATGAACCCTCAAAGAGGATTAAACCATTAAGCATGACCTCAATCTCAAGCTTAAAGGATCCCAAACTTGAAACGATACTCAAAAGAAAATGAAAGAGTGAAGCAAAGAAGGAGATTGCAGAGTTTATAGTGCTGAAATAGAGTGGAAAACAATACCAAAAGATGCTATCAACTCAAATATGGTTCACTTCCATTATTTAAAGTTAAAATTGAGAGCTCTCTCTTTCGTGTCGATGATATACTATTGGCGGAGAAGATGAAACATTAATTGATCGTATTAAGTGATTAGAAAATATAAATAGACATAATAAATAGTGATAGATGAAGAAATATGATTACTTGATATTTTGAAATTATTATTTAATTTTTCCTCCTTCAGTAGTGGTCATGGGTGTTTAATATTATTTTAAGCTAAAAATTGATATTAAGACAATAGAAATTAAAAAGTATTCATTTCATAATTTTTGAAAAATTAATTTTTTTTAAACTTATTTAAGTTAAATCTACATAATAAGTTATAAATAAAAATTACATTAAACAATCTAGTACAAAATTTTAAATTAATATAATTTATAAACTGGTTGTATAATCTCCTAAACAGTGTGAATATTCACATTGTTAATATGAATATTATTATTAAAAATGTTAAAATAACTATGTCACCAATATGAGTTATTGAAATATAAGAAAATAATTTGATTAAGATTAATATAAATAAGTGAAAAAAGATTTATGAATAAATACTCATTTTTAATATTTTCACATATTTTTAAATTATTTTTTATATATTTTCTAAAATCAAACGATACTTAAGGTTAAGGACCACTAGTAATTGTGTGGGTAAAAATCTGACCACACTGCCCGTTTAGTGATCAGCAGCAAAGCACCGGCAGAATAGATGGCTCCAACAACCTGTAACAGAAAGGAAAAGCTCCGGCGGTGGTTCTTCCACCCGGGGGCACTCCGACGATCAAGTCAGTATGTTTCTCAAGGATAATCAAGTATTAAACTGAATACTCAAAGTATGAATTACATACCTTAGACCCACGGGGGTGCCTCTCTTTTATAATATACTTAATCCAAGTCCAACTAGAAATATGACTTCTGTGTACCCCAATCTTAGTACTTACTCTGGACTCTTTGGGAGATAGAGATAAACTCCCTAAGAGGTTTATCCTTATCTTAACTGAGTCCCCTCTTTGCTTCAGGACTCTTGTCCCTTATCTTCGGATTCCGACATCTTCGGAGATGACCTCGGCTTATCCGAGATTACCTCGGCTTAACTACCAGGGCACGTGGCACCTCGGCTGACACGTCGGCGTCACCATGCCACGTGCTGGTAATCAGAAAATATGTCCCCACATGGCCCAAAGATCAATTGTGCACCATCGGCTCTCAGGAAGCAGACAAAGCAACTAACAGCGAGGACCCAAAAAATAAATAAATAAAATTAAGTACGAATAATTATCAAAAGAAAATAGATTTGACCATGTAAATATCAAAAGAAGAGGCAAATCAACCTTGTAAATATAATAGATTTGACTAACTAGGATATGTAAAGTCACTTGCCATTTTGAAGCAACATTCACAATCAGAACAACCTTCCCATTGTAATTGCTCAGAGGTACATCATTTCCGCGTATGTCCTGCACTTTCAGTTCTATTCAATCAGCAACTACTAACCACATACAATGATGATATTTTGACAAAAACAATGGAAAGCTTCAAACCAAAGAAGGCGGCCAACAGGCCAGTGAAATCAAACATTAACAACTATGGAACTAAAAGAGGATGACAAAAGCAGAAGAAGAAATTAAACAAAGAGATAAACTAGTTCAATCCAAATTAATTGTGATCCAAACTGCCCTATTTCTCGTTGTCTCTTTATTATCATAATCCAAACAAAGCACTGTAAATAAACAGAGGCAGAAATTTATTACTAAACTCATGAGTCATGGGCAACATCTAACACCAAATAAACATAAAAGTTTTTCAAAAATATTAAAATTAAAAATATGCAACACAGGTGCAGTGGGAAACAAAAACAATTAGAAAAGAAAATGAGAAGTAAATAGAGAAAAAAGTGAAAACCCAAATCAAATAGCTAAGGATGAACTCATGAAGATCAAAAGCCAGAGATTAATTGAAGAATTCCAGAAAGAAACTGATTAATACCTTGACAGTGAAATCATAAATGGATTTGGGGGTTTCCTCACCAGCCATGTTTTGAGAAGCAGGAGATGAAGTTGGGTTTCTGTATAATTGATTCTTAATGTATTCAATTGGAAATATGCAACAAGAAATATACATAGATAATTATGGGTATACATAGACATAAGGAACTAAGCTATACAAGTCAACAATCTCTATTGGAACAAAGCTATAGAAGTCAACAATCTCTATTGGATGGAATGAAGTTCAAATTTTCAGTTGAATTGACAAGTTTACCAAGGGTAAGATTAAGGGTTGACTTTTGTTTCTTTTTCTCCTTATTTTAACACTGGTAAATTAGCTGGGTGCAGCAAAAAATTGAGACTTTGGCCTGATTTGTTAATTATATATTTTAGTTAAAAAGTCAAAAAATTATTATATCACTCGTTTTATTTATTTTTAATATCTTAATATAAAAGTTAAAAAATTATTAAAATAATCTATTTCTAAACGAGTCCTTTGGATGATAAAAATCCAATGATAGTTGTGCTTTGAAAAATATATGATCGTGACAATTAAAATAAGAGTTAATTCAAAGAAAATGTGTGTGTGTGTGGAATCTCTCCAGTTGTCTTCTTCCAATATATCTTCTTCTTTTCGCCCTTCGTGTTGTGACCTGTTTGGATACATTTTTAATTTTTTTTTAATTAAAAATTGATAATATTGAACCTAAATGCACATCTTCTTAACTTTAAGATAATTAATTTTTATAATGTATTTATACTACACGCTACACATGTCCTTAAAATAAAATCAAATAAATAATTATAAGTAACTCAAGAAAATTGCACTAAACAGGTTAATACGAAGGGTATTTTTAGGATGTAAAAATTAATGACGCTTAGTAGTTAAAAACACTTTTTTTTTTTTACTTTTTTTTTTTTTTTTTGTATACAAGTGCATTTTTAGTTATTATTTTTAATTTAAAAATATAAATTTGTTAAAATAATTGATGAGTTTGGTAAATGAAGTGGTTCCTTAGTGTTTTTTTTTTTTATTCATTTATTATTGTTTAATCTCTTTTTTTCTATGAAATAAACATTTTTTTTTCTTAAATGGTTAAAAATAGCTTCTTCTTTTTTTCTTTTTTTTTTAAAGTTGAAACCAAATACAGCCCCGAGAGCTTAAATAAGTAAGCAAAATGAGAGAAATGCTAAAGTAAGCAGAAAGTTTGTGTTAGAAAGTCTCCAAAATATTAGATCGATGATATATATTTAAAAAATAATTTGAATAAATCTTAACCTTTCATGAAAACACATTTATGATTTTTCTAGAATTGCAGACTCATTGATAATTCAATTATTAAATCAGCTACAATCGTTCCACAGTCAATAATATTTATATATTTAATGAATCTTACTGCATATGAATTAATTATCACTAATTTTATAATCAAAATTCTATGTACTTTACATTTTTAAGCTTATTTTGAGAGCATGATTGAAAGTAATTTTTTAAAATAAATATATGTGTGGACATATTTTTTGGGTATTCCACGTGGCCAAAGTTGTTAGCCGAGGTGCTACATGAGCAGATCATATTTGCCGAGATATTTTGGGCACTGCCGAGGTATTCTGCTGCAATACCAGAATCCGAGATAAGCGGATAAGGGACAAGAATCTTAGAATGGGAGAAGACTTCAGTTTGGGTAAAGATAAGACTCTCAGAGAGTTTATCCTAATCCTACTGGGAGTCCAAGCTAGGCTTCTATTGGGACTAGGATTGAGTTTGCTATAAAAGAGAGGCACCTCCATTGGTCTAAGGTATGCAATTTGTATTCTGACTAGTGAGTTGAGCACTTCTGATATCTTTAAGATAACTGACTTGATCGTCAGAATGCCCCCGGGTGGATGAGCCACCGCCGGGATCTCTTCTTTCTGTTGCAGGTCGCTCGGGTTTAGTCTATTCTGCCAGTGTTCTCCAACTGAATGCTTGATTGGCAGTGTGGTCGGAAAATCACTAACACAATTTGGCGCCGTCTGTGGGAAAGAAACGAGAATAGACGGCCAATGACGGACAGAAAGAGAAGGTTGGGGACGACACCCCTACTAAGAATGGGAAACATATTGACTCAGATGTTGAAGAAGTCAACTGCAACGAAGAGACTTGTGATAAGAATCACGAAGGAAAGGACATCGGCCAGGAGAGCGACAAACCAAAGAAAACGGACCGGAGCAGGTATTACAACGAGGATAACCTCCAGATATGGAAGGATAGATGCCTGCAGAGGGACGACGAGATAAAGTGAATGGCGGACAAATTGGCGGACCTGCAAACGGTCGCCAATTTCCTAATGCAGAACAACGTCGTGCAGCCACTGTTCTCGCTATAAGATATGCCGATTCTAGTGGCCAAGAAAGACGCCCAGAAAATAGGGCAGAAAACGATTCCTGCAATCTCTCAGCATGGTGAGACCAAGGGACATTCTCACCGGCCTTCACGGGACGTCGGCCACGAAGAATCCCAGAAGACACGATCTCGGCCTAGATGATTAGGTCTGAGAAAAGAAGAGCTCAGTCTAAAAGTAAGCAGATCCCAGATTCCAGAAGGCAAGATCTCGGCCTAGATGATTATGTCCGAGAAAAGAAGAGCTCAGTCTAAAAGTGAGCAGATCCCAGAATCCAGAAGGCAAGATCTCGGCCTAGATCATTAGGTCTGAGAAAAGAAGAGCTCAGTCTAAAGTGAGCAGATCTCAGATTCCAGAAGGCAAGATTTCGCCCCAGATGATTAAATCCAATAAGAGAAAAGCACAGCCTGAGTTAAAAACTTTTTTCCATAAAGGAGTAGGTGGAAGCCATGTAGAGGGTTGGAGAATGATGCTTGGGAGTTGGAATTTTCAAGCCGAGATTATGTTTAACACTTGTTGAAACTTAAGAAAAGTTTACAAGTTGAAGTTAAACCGAGATGATGTTTAACACTTGTTGAAACTTGAGAAAAGTTTACAAGTTGAAGTTAAACCGAGATGATATTTAACACTTGATGAAACTTGTGAAAAGTTTACAAGTTGAAGTTAAACCGAGATGATGTATAACATTTATTGAAACTTGTAAAAAGTTTACAAGTTGAAGTTAAACCGAGATGATATTTAACACTTGATGAAACTTGAGAAAAGTTTACAAGTTGAAGTTAAACCGAGATTACGTTTAACACTTGTTGAAACTTAAGAAAAGTTTACAAGTTGAAGTTAAACCGAGATGATGTTTAACACTTGTTAAAACTTGTGAAAAGTTTACAAGTTGAAGTTAAACCGAGATAATGTTTAACACTTGTTGAAACTTGAGAAAAGTTTACAAGTTGAAGTTAAACCCAGATGATGTTTTACACTTGTTGAAACTTGAGAAAAATTTACAAGTTGAAGTTAAACCGAGATGATATTTTACACTTGTTGAAACTTGAGAAAAGTTTACAAGTTGAAGTTAAATCGAGATTATGTTTAACACTTGTTGAAACTTGAGAAAAGTTTACAAGTTGAAGTTAAACCGAGATTATGTTTAACACTTGTTGAAATTTTGAGAGAGTTTACAAGTTGAAGTTAAGCCGAGATCATGTTTAACACTTGTTGAAATTCTAAGAGAATTTACAAGTTAAAGTTAAACCGAGAAAGAAGATTGATTTAACACTTGTTGAAATTCTGAGAGAATTTACAAGTTGAAGTTAAACCGAGAAAGAAGATTGATTTAACACTTGTTGAAATTTTGAGAAAATTTACAAGTTGAAGTTAAATCCATGGTTATGAATGAAAGAAGTATCTATACACGTGCCGAGGTGACTATGTTACCAAGACTTGGAAGATAGTGGAAGACAAAAGTCTTAAGAAGTAAGAGCAACACTTGTGAAAATATTTGTTACAATTTTTTCAAGTGTTAAACCGAGACCGAGATAAGCAAGGTCGGAAGTTTTGTCCGAGGAATGTTAACCTGGGGAGATTGCACAGTTAAGGTGTATGTTGAAGACATGCAAATTGTATTCTAAGTATGGAATCATACAAGGTATTAAGAAGAGGTCAAACATTCAAAACACTTGAAAGAAGAAGTTAAAAAAATGCATTCAGATAAGGAAAGAAGGCATTTTGGCCTGACATTGAAGAATAAATTGTTTGAGTAACAAAAAAGTACAAGGTACAAAGACAGTACATGTTCAGTACATAGTGAAATTCAAGATACATGTTAAATGATCAAAAGACAAGAAGGAGTAAAGCAATGAAGCCGAAGTAAAGTTCGCCGGGATCAGACGGTGGCCGTAAGCAAGGAAGTGCAGCAGAAGCCTCGCTAGAGGGGAGAGTGAAACTGGTTGCAGACAGCATCGCAAAAGCAGCAATAGAGGATTTGAAAGAAACAGTTTAAACAAAAATGAAGATGCAGAAGTAAAAAGACGGAGAGAGTGAAGAGATTTTGATCAAATACGCAGATGCAAGGCGACTTAATGACGCGTATCAGACACGACTTAGTAGAGGAAAGATGCGTGGCAAAAACGGTTGAAAAATTGTACGTGCTAGCTCATACGCATGAAGAAAACTCCTGAAGTTCTTGATTTAATGAAACAAATACCTCGGCTAGAAGGACAGTTTCGACTGAGAACCTTGAACGAATATGGTTGTTGGTTCCAAAGCCTTGATGGAAGCAGACTATAGGTCTGGGCCATATTGAACCGACGGGTTCTGACTTCAGCAATAAATGATGAAGCAAGCTTAACCGACGTGCCAGATGAAAGAGATAGTATAGGTTCCATCACTTCAGTTTGCCGAGGTAATAGAACCTAGGTGTAGACACCCCATTTTTGACCGATCTTAAGACTCATACGTCACCAACTGAGCGCTCGGTGATGTTGCATATTGTGCTCGTTCTGAGGTTACAAAGTCTCAGCTGAGAGCCTTGCCTCTAGGCTTCGGAACCTTTTCGTGCCTTGCCTCGGTTTGTGAACCAAGTCCTATTTTCTCTGTTTTCTCTTTCTGGAAGGAGGGAGAGGTCTTGTAGACCATCTCTCAGTGGCCGTAGGCTATGTTTCTTGGTCGTAGGCCATTTTTCCCGTTTAGAGACCAGTTTCCAGTTTTCGGAGCCGTCGGCCGTGTGCCTCGGTTCGGGACCGCTTAACTACCTCCGTTTGCTCCGGTTTTTGGCAGACACCTTTTTTCCTCTCCTTAGAGGGACACTGTGGCCCGGGAGACCACCTTCATGGT